CGTTGACGTAGGTGCCGTTGCGGCTCCCGAGGTCCTCGACGACGAAGTCGGCGCCGCGGCGGATCACCTCGGCGTGGCGGCGGCTGACGGCGGCGACGTCGAGCGAGACCTCGCAGTCGCTGCTGCGGCCGATGGTGGAGCGCTCGGCGGTGAGCGGGAACCGCTTGCCCGGTTCGACGCCTTGAACGAGGCGGAGCGTTGCCATGGGTGCGGGGCGGGGTGCGGGGAGGCGGCGGCTGGCGATCCTACCTGCCGCAGAGAGAGTCTACGGCGCCCCGAAAAAGGCCGAAAGCCTTCCGCCCTTGATCGCCGGGCCGTGGGGCCCTAATCTTTGGTTTCGTGGCCCTTCTCGCGGCCCGAGCTACTGGGGATTGGTGTAATCGGTAGCACGACGGATTCTGATTCCGTTAGTCGGGGTTCAAGTCCCTGATCCCCAGCTTGCGGCGTTTCTGGGCCGGCTCAGCTTGGCTACGCCAAGACTTCGCTCGGCGGGTTTCTGCGGTCTCGACGTGGCGAAGCCACGATCTTGCCACGCGTCGGCCGGCTTTCTGCGGTCTCGGCACAGTTTGTTAGCCCTGCCCCATTTAGCCCCCAATCCCAATTAGCCCCCGGTCAATGACCGGGGGCTAATTGGGCGCTAAGCGGAGGCGACAGGATTCGAACCTGCGGTAGGGGGGACCCCTACGCCGATTTAGCAAACCGGTGCTTTCGACCACTCAGCCACACCTCCGTAGCTGCGAGAGATCCACAGTGTAGTTGCTCCCCAGCGACACACGCAAGACGGTATCGCGGTCCTCCAGGTTCACGTCGCTTCGCTGGCGGCTAGAACCAGCCCAATGAGGCCAAACTGTAGCGGACGATAAGGCCTGCCATGACCACGCTCACCATGCTCATAAGCTTGATGAGGATGTTCAAGCTCGGGCCGCTAGTGTCCTTGAACGGATCGCCCACCATATCGCCGACGACCGCTGCCTTATGAGTTGCGGTCCCTTTGCCTCCGTGAGCGCCGGCTTCGATGTATTTCTTAGCGTTGTCCCACGAGCCGCCGGAGTTGGCCATAAAGACCGCCACGCAGAAACCGCAAACGAGGGTTCCGATCAGCAAGCCCAGCACGCCGGCAACGCCAAGAACCATGCCCACGCCAACGGGTAGAAGAATTCCCAACAGTGAGGGGCCGATCATTTCAGCCTGGGCCGCCATAGTGCTGATGGCTACGGGACGCTCGTAGTCGGGCATATCGTCGCCCGTCATGATGCCGGGCTTCTCAAGGAATTGCCGGCGGACCTCCTCCACCATGCCCTGAGCCGCTCGACCGACCGCCTTCAAGGTCATCGCACAGAACACGAAAGTCGCCATCGCCCCGGCGAAGAGGCCGATCAGCACCTTGGGGTTCATCAGCGTCGCGTCGAAATAGATGTTGAAATCGGGGAGCGTCATCGCTGAGAGCGGCGTGAGCTCGGTGTTGCTCGGCTTCCAGACAACGCCACCCTCCCCGTCACCCGTCGGAATATCAATGAGATCGCCGTATCCCACTTCTATCTCTGAAGAACTGGCTGGCAGTCGAGACTCGACAGGCATCGCGATCCATCGATCAACGAGATCGGACCCACGCAACTGCGATGGCATGATCAAGAAGGGAGAAACCTTCGGCTTGCCGGCCGACGCTCCATCGGCACTGTCCTGCTGAATGTTGACGACAAAGCGATCGGACAGTTTGTACCATCCCGACTGGAAGGCATCGGCGCCCTGCGCTGCGAATGTCGTCTCCGCGAAGTCCTTTCCCCAGCGGTCGAACCCCACCCGCACGCCTTCGATGTAGGCGGCTAGCAAGGCGAGCGCCGTTAAGGCGGCCGATCCGATGGCGAATCCCTTACCGGTCGCGGCAGTGGTGTTGCCGAGGCTGTCTAACGCGTCGGTCCGCTCACGGACGTAGGCGGGCATCCCGGCCATCTCGGCGTTACCGCCGGCATTGTCGGCGATCGGGCCGTAAGCGTCGGTAGCCAACGTAATGCCGAGGGTGCTGAGCATGCCGACGGCGGCGACGCCAACCCCGTAGAGGCCTAGCGAGAAAATGTTGACGTCGGTGAACTGCCCACCGGTCGCGCAACCAAACGAGAGGATCGTGGCGACACATACCGTGATGACCGGCAGCCAGACGCTCATCATGCCATTGGCGATGCCGCTAATGATGATCGTGGCCGGTCCTGTGACGGCTTGGTCAGCCAGCTTCTTGGTCGGCGAGTACTCATCGCTAGTGCAGTACTCCGTCCACTTGCCGATCACGATTCCTGCGGCTGCCCCGAAGACGACGCTGAACGCCACCCCAGGGATGCCAAAGAATGTCGTCTGCGCTGTGCTAGGCATCAGAAAATACGCCGCGGCGATCGCGGCGGCGATTACGAGATAGGTCGCTCGACTGATGCCTTTGTCCAGTGCCTGAAGCAGGCTTTTTTGACTAACGTCGTCATCCGTCTTCACAAGGTAGATGCCGAAGATCGACACAAAGATGCCGAGCCCGGCGATCACCATCGGCAGCATCATCGCCGCAATCTGCGCGTTGTCCGTGGTCCAATCCGCGGGAGAGAGGGACGGGTCAACGAACGCGGCGGCGCCTAACGCCGAGGCAGCGAGGATCGAGCCGGCGTAGGACTCGTACAGGTCGGCTCCCATGCCGGCGACGTCGCCCACATTGTCGCCAACATTGTCAGCGATAGTGGCCGGGTTACGCGGGTCGTCCGCGGGGATGCCCTGCTCGACCTTGCCCACCAGGTCGGCGCCAACGTCCGCCGCCTTGGTGAAGATGCCGCCGCCGACGCGGGCAAATAGTGCCTGGGCGCTTGCGCCCATTCCGAAGCAAACCATCGTCACGGAAATCTCCGAGATCGATAGCGGGGCCATGCCCAAGGCGGGCCAGACCCAATAGAGAAAGGCAAACCACAGGCAAATGTCGGTCAGGCCGAGGCCAACCACCGTGAGACCCATCACGGCGCCACTACGGAAGGCGACCTGCAAGCCTTGGTTAAGCGACTTCTCTGCTGCGGCGGCGGTGCGATTGCTGGCGGCCGTGGCGGTCTTCATACCAAACCAACCGGCCAAGCCGCTAAAAAATCCGCCTGTGAGGAAGGCGAATGGCACGAACTCGCTCTGCACTTTAAGCCCAAATGCGGCCCAAGCGAGCAGCAATGCGACGACTACGAAAAACACCGCCACCACTCGGTATTGCTGCTGCAGATAGGCGTTGGCGCCTTGCTGCACAAAGCCAGCAATCTCTTGATTGCGTTCGGAGCCGGGGTCGGCTGCGATCATCGTGACGTAGAACTTTCTCGCTTGCACCAACGCCGTCATGGCGCCGATGAAGGCGATCGACCAACAGACAATCGCTACGGTCTGCGTTGAAGAACCAGCAACCGTTGCAACTCCCGGGGAGTCAGCCGGCGCTTGGGCCAAGGCTCGACCGCTCAGC